TCGTAGCAGGCTTCCGGAGAAAGAGCGCTATCATCTATTTCACCGCTGAGTGGTAGTTCATGGTTCTGACCTTTCCCCAGCCCCATTCCAGCCACGCAGTGTCTACAGAATTTAAAAGAAAGAAAGAACAGACATCAGGCAGAATTAAAAGAATGTTTCTATTCTTTAAGCATGAGATAACACCCTTATTGCATGCTATATGCTACACTAAAAAAAGATTTTGTGTTGTTAGTTGCAAAGTCATGTCTGACCCATCGCGGCCCCATGGACAACATTCCTCCAGGCCTTCCTGTTCTCTACCATCCTCTAGAGTCCATTTAAGCTCATGCCTACTTCTTCAGTGACCATGCAGCCACCACATTTTTTGTCGTCCCCTTCTTCTTTTGCCCTCCATCGTTCCCAGCATTAGTCTCTTCTCCAGGGAGTCCTTCCTTCTCATTAGGTGGACAAAGTATTTGAGTTTCATCTCCTGGATCTGGCCTTCTAAAGAGCAGTCAGGGTTGATCTCCTCTAGACTGACCAATTTGATCGCCTTGCAGTCCAAGGGACTCACAGGAGTCTTCTCCAGCACCAGAGTTCAAAGGTCTCAATTCTTTGGTGCCTGGCCTTCCTTATGGTCTTACATATAAGATACATATAAGATATGGTCTTACATATAAGATAAGGTCTTACATATAAGATATGGTCTTACATATAAGATTCTTATGGTCTTACATATAAGATACAATGCCTATATATTTTGTACCTCTGCATCTTTTAACAATTTAATAGAAATCTGATCTATGAGAAAGCCATTTTATTTCTAAACTTGAATATATTTTTTAAATTCGTGGGGATTGTATCATCAACTGATAAGAGTCAAAGGCACACGAAGGAATGGACCAAACTATAATATATCCATTGTTTACATCTCCTATTGTCAATGCAACTTTTGCTCAAGAAATGGAGTTTATAGCTGTGCCTTTTCTTGCGGATTCCATTTCCCCTACATGGGTTGGTCTGCATTAATCTAAAGAAACTAGGAGGGTATTTGTTGTTGTTGTTGTTGTAGGTCCAAAAGCATCTTCTCACCCTTGTCCTATTCGGAAGTACCCTGGTGGGCATCCGCAGACATAACCACCTTCTGTATTGGAGCAACCGTAGCTGCATGGAGCCTGAGAGGACCCACATTCGTTCACATCCTGGCATTGCCCACTGAACTGTTCAAAATTATATCCAGTGGGGCACATGCATTTGTAACTTCCCAACGTGTTGTGGCAAGAGGCCCCACCGCAGACATGAGAGCTGAGGCATTCGTTTTCATCTGGAAGACAAAGCAAAGAAGGTTTGATCATTGTTCTAATAATGTCTTGAGATATTTAGTCACAACTATCACATTTATCTAGTAAATATCCTGCACACAAGTAGATTCAGGGACAAGGATTCCGTCTATCTAAAATCTCCATGACCGAGATTGGACTCTCCTCTCCTCTCCCCTCCCCTCTCTCCTTCTTCCCTCTCTCCTCCACTCCCCTCTTCTTCCTCTCCTCTTCTTCACTCTCCTCTCTTCCTCTCCTCTCTTCTTTCTCTCCTCTCCTCTTTTTCCTCTCCTGTTCTTCCTCCCCTCCCCTCTGCTTCTTCACTCCTCTCCCCTCCCCTCTCTCTTTCTTCCTCCTCTCTCCTTCNGTACAAGTACAGTACAGTAGAACAACAGAAGAGTAGAGTATAGTACAGTAGAACTAGAGTAGAGTACAGTAGAGTACAGTAGAACAACAGAAGAGTAGAGTACAGTAGAGTAGAACAGCAATAGAGTAGCAGTAGAGTAGCAGTAGAGTAGAGTAGAGAGAAGGGATCTTGGAGGTCTTCTAGTCCAACCCCCTGCTCCAGCAGGAGAACCTCTACCATTTCAGACAAGTGACTGTCCAGTCTCTTCATAAAAACCTCCAGTGATGGAGCATCCACAATTTCTGGAGGCAGCTGTTCCACCGGTTAATTGTCCTCTTGTGTACTGCATTCTACACAACCTATTTGCATAGAATGAAACAGCACTTCACACAAAGGCAGCCAGATGCCCCTGTGTCCATTGACATTCATCCTTTATGGTCATCCACGTACAGGGAAGTCCTCAACTTACAACCACAAAGGAGCCAGGAATTGCTCTTGCTAAGTCAGACGTTCATGAAGTGAGTTTTGCCTCATTTTACAGCTTTTCTTGCCCCATTTGTCAAGTGAATCGCTATGGTTGTTAAGTTAGTCACACGGTTGTTAAGTGAATCTTGTTTCCCTATTGACTTTGCTTGTCGGAAGGCCACAAAAGCTGATCACATGACTCAGGGACACTGGAATGCTCGTAAATGTGAGTCCATTGCCAAAAGCATCTGAATTGTGATCATGTAACCGTGGGAGCACGGCAACCGCCATAAGTGTGAAAAACTGTCACCATAGCTCACTTTTTCCACTGCCTTTCTAAGTTTGAACAGTCACTAAATGAACTCTTGCAAGGGCTACCTGTATCTAGTTTATCAGAGACCAAAATACTTTTCCTCTCCTAGCTCACAGCAAACTAATTTAAGTTTCAAGCTGATTTAATACTAGATTACGCCAAACCCAGTCAACGGCAGTATTTTAAACAGCGCAAATACAATAAGTGCGTAGGCAGAGCAGCTTTTGCAAGCATTTGAACAGGCAGTGCATTTAAAATGACATTTCCCAAGGTGTTTATCATCCCGATTCAGCATTCTAGTCCAGTTAAATAACCAAAGCTAAATACTTATTCGTGTTCATTTGGAAGAAACATCCAACTGCATTCAGCTATGCTCATGTCTGAGTAACATAAGCTCCAGAACAGAGGATTCATTTTATAATATCCCATCACCGGTATAGTTGAGGAATGGTTTCTTTCTTCCTCTAGACAGAATGAGTCATGCAAAGATTGCATGCATTAAAGCCAATTTGTGATTTATATAATATTTGGGGTGGGGGTGGGGAATGGTTCAGAGCTGGCTTGCAGAGAGCTGAAAACTAAAATAAACGACTAGCTTTGGAACTGGAAATTTCTGTTATATTGAAAGATCACGTTCTAGTTTTCTCTCTGTTCTGACTGAGGCTTCCCAAGAGCATGAAGCAAACTCCTGGTCATGACAGAAACCCCTTTTATTAATTGACGGTGAATTCTGCTGATTCACATCCAGCAAAGTCTTTTAAGGGAGGATTTATAGTCACAGACCTTATCTGGCTTGGAGAGCTGCCAGGCCGATCTCTGCAAAACTTGGCAAGGTGTCTTGGAGAGTCACAATTAAGCAAAGTCATTGTCTCCTGCAAACTCCACTCCCCCTTCGCTCCTCTTTTATTCCCTCTGGGAGGAGCCATTCGCTGTCCACTGTGGCTTTACTTCCAAGTCGAACTAATGGTCTCCTGCAAACTCCACTCCCCTTTCGCTCCTCTTTTATTCCCTCTGGGAGGAGCCATTCACTGTCCACTGTGGCTTTACTTCCAAGTCGAACTAATGGTCTCCTGCAAACTCCACTCCCCTTTCGCTCCTCTTTTATTCCCTCTGGGAGGAGCCATTCACTGTCCACTGTGGCTTTACTTCCAAGTCGAACTAATGGTCTCCTGCAAACTCCACTCCCCTTTCGCTCCTCTTTTATTCCCTCTGGGAGGAGCCATTCACTGTCCACTGTGGCTTTACTTCCAAGTCGAACTAATGGTCTCCTGCAAACTCCACTCCCCTTTTGCTCCTCTATAATTTCCTTCTGGGAGAGGCCATTCACCATCCACCTGTGGCCTTA